GAAAAGGGAAAGAGAGAAGGAAGGGCCACAAGCTGCTTGTCTGTAGTCTGTTTCCTCCACAGTCACTCACCTGTGGAGCGGAAGGTGGCTTGTGGCACCAAAGAGTGCAAAATATTATAACCAGGATCTACCCTTAGTTTCACCAAAAGTGTCCTTACAGAGTTGCTACCTTGCCTATGTTTTTAGATGGAGGGGAATTTTAAAGACAGACAAAAGGAAACCGTTAAAATCCTGACGCTGACCCCATTCAGACGGGAGCTATGGAGAGCACCGTGGTCAGCGAAGCGCGTAGCCTGCGTGTAGCAGTTTGTAGCATGTAGTTTGAGAAGCAGTCAGGATTGTGGGGGTAAAACTCACACTGGCAAACCACTGCACTCAGGGTGTACGTTCCAGTTGCCTGTAGCGTAACAGCCTGGATTGCCATCTGAAAACTTCTACTTCTACTTTCTACTTCTACTCTGCCATCTGAAAACTTCTAAAGTTTCAATTTATGCTAGTAAAAAAAAAAAAAAAAGGCTCTCCGTCACTTTTGATTCATTTTTATATTTGTTTTAGACTAAAGAAAAGCAACCAAAAAATCCCCTCAAAATCTAAACCAATTATTTGCTATATGCTTTGTTTTTAAATAATGGAGTGTGGCTGAAGTGCTCACTTCTTGGGAATCTGAACCTTCGCCTCTGAGTACCTCTGACTGTGTACGGGCTGTCAGAAAGGGACGTGGCACCGGGGGTACAGCTGGGAGTGCTGCCGTGAGCAGTCAGAGCTCCCTGTTGTGAGCAGTGACAAAAGACATGATGTGTTTGATAGCAGCTGGGGTGTTACATGTAGTAAAAACCTCTTCCCTGATAAAAGTTTTCTAATTTATAGCAGAGCTCTGTCCTGCCGCTGGCACTTGTTCCTGGCTTTTGGAAGTCAGCATGTTGGGCTCCTTGCATGTGGAGGGATTCTTTATGATTGTGGCCAGCTGAATGCCACTGGGATGCTTTTCCTCAGTGTCCTCCATCGGTTGGCTCTGCCTGCCAAACTCCTCAAAGGCATACGCCATGCTGTTGGTCCATGCCTTCCCGTGGTCTTGTTTGGAGGTCCCATTTCGCCCTTGCAAACGCTCACGTCTCCTGCGGCACAGGAGGTGCAGGCAGCTGTAGAGGAGGATTGCAGCGATGATGAAGAGTAGGATGCTGCTGGTGAGCCAGATGCCCAGTGCCAGCTCCTTCTTGGTGCTGCTTGTGGATGCAGGGTCTCGTTCCAGCGTGTTAAAAACTCTGCACTGGTCACCAGAGGGGTTTGCGGACTGGCAGGTCACGCACACCAGGTATGTTGTCAGTGGAGTTAGGTTTTCAACAACAAAGGAGGAGCGACTGGCAGGCACTCTCTCTTCATTCTGAAAGCTGTTTCTCGAGTAACTCGATAGCATGCTGTTCCAGTTAGGGTGGTACATGACGCTGTAAAAGCTGTCGGTACAACTGGCCATTTTTGGCCAAATTACCATTGCCGTGTTTCCTGTGATGTTTTGGACGGTTATTCCCATTGGGATGTTGCTTAGGTAGGTTGTTTTCTCTGCTGTTGCTGATCTCACTGTGGAAAGGGAAGATGTTCGTTTCCCAGGGAGGTAACCGAGAAGTTGCAGCACTGGAGATGTCGTGTGGATCTCAATTGCAGTGCTCTGTAATTTAGGAAAGGAGTTTATTAGGAAACTATGCTCTTGTTGTTGGTACTGCTGTGTCAAAGTGAGAGCTGGCAGTTCATAAAGCTTGGAGTATTTTAAACTGTGTACTTTTCTCCCCAGTGAAAGACTAGATACATGGTTACAGAAATTAAACTCTGTGCTTTTCTCCCCAGTCAAAAGACTAGATACATGCTTACAGAAATTCAACCGGAGCTGCTGCCTGTCCAGGTGATCAGTTGTTACCTTGTCTCAGTGAGAGACAGTGTGTTTTGCAGAATTTGCAGTTGGGGAACCACTTCCATTCACAGGTTGTTTTTTTTCCAGATGACTGTATGCTTGAAATGGGGAGCAAGGGGATGTTGGCCCACGGCATCCTGTTCAAAATTTGCCTCTATGTGAACTTTGGTATGCACGCTACCTTCATATTTGGGACAGTCTCTATAATAAGAACACTGGATATTTTTGTCTTGAGGAAGTTGTAGTTAGGTAACATTAAGCTAAACTCTCATTAGAGTCATGGAAATCTGAACTGAATTGAACTGCTCTCTGGTTTGGCATTAAACTAAAGACCGACGGATTGACCATCCAACTAACTCTTTACCTGTCACACAGAATACTTGCCTAATGAGTATGTTGATAAGTGGTGTTTGGATTTGTTTGTTAAAGGAAAGAAATGCAGCATTTGCTTTTTACCTCTAGTCTGAGTGTCTCACGTTTTATTTTACTTATTTGGTATTTTCTGTAATCTCAGAGCTTGCTTTTGAGAGTAGTGAATTTTCTTAAGTGGCAAGTGAGGGGTGGCAGAAGTGGATTTTGCAGGATAAATTCCTCTGGCCATCCACAAGTCTTGATTTTTTTGCCTGTCACAGTCAATTGAAAACCAAAAACAGTACATGGAAACATCACCAGGTATTATTTTGCCTCCAATATAATTTTACATTAGTTTCTTACTTGCCGATAACTCTCGTGGTTTTTTTCTGGTGGGTTAGCACACGCGTAGCCACCGCTAGAGCAGTGGCTGTGATGATTATACATCGGTGGCATCAGTATCACAATAGTTAGTCTTGATGCTAGTCAGCCTCTTGGAAAAGCTTTCTCAAGCTAGGCTTAGTTGGTGAAGTACAGCTTTCACTATAGCATGCCCTTTGGATAGATAGTGTTTTTAAAAAAAAAAAAACAAAAACAAAAAACCTCAACAAACTAATACTCTTTTTTGTGCTAAGCAATTGTATGTAATTCTGTAGTCTGTCTACCCTGAACTAATACTCCTCCTCATAATAAAATTAACATTAGAAAACCTGACAATATTTTGAGATTCTGCGTTTGCGTTACCACTGTAAATAGTGTAAGGAAAATATCTTTTTTCTGCAATTTGCTAAATGCTTCCATTAAAGAATATCTTCCTTTCAGGACAAAAAATTGGCTTTTGCCTTGGTAGACTTTTTAATTAAAGTTGTGATTTTATAACAAAACAAGCCTTAATAACAGCCAGTGGACATTTTTGTATGTTGAGTGGGGTTTTTTTTACTTTACAGCTGTGAAGGTAAATTTTTCATGAGAGCCTACCCTGGCAATTTAATTTGATTCTCTTGTAGTTTAGTACTCAGTTTCTAGTGGCATTCGTGTAAAAGTTTTTTCCACTGTGAAAGTTTCTTGCTTCTTCTATGAACCTAAATTCCCATGACGGTAACACTGTATTTCATTGTTAATAACTTTGTTATAAAAATTACTTTTTTTATAATCAAGTTTCAGATGTTAAGTCTCCTGGCTAAACAACAATTTACTATTGAATATTTTCCTGATTAAGAAAGGTCATAATATTTGCTCATAACATATTCTGAAACTAGTCTGTAATACTTTTATTGTCTTTCATACTAGGTAGGAGGCTGGCAAAATATATGTTATTTTAGTGGGATCTTGATTGCTACATTACATTAGTAGTAAGAATTCTGTGACTGCTTATGTACAAAAATTGTTGCTTGAGGCTTTTGGATTATACTTACTGAGAAGTGAGAAGAAAAAGATGTACATTAATTTTCATTACAATGTAAAACCTCAGATGTGACTGATCTGGGTAGATGCTGCCTTTCTAATTGTGTGGTAAATGTACACTTTTTGATACAGCAACAATATAAAGCAACTGATTTTGCTATCAAATAAACTTATTAGACACTTTTTGGCATCTACCCAACTTCTGCAGTTATTAAAGTTGGGTGCATTAATAAAATTAGAGCCTTTACTTGGTCATTTGTCTTCTCATAGAACACTTCCTAACACAGTCTGGAAACAATAGTTTCACCCTCACAGCATTTTGCAAGTTGAATGTTTGGATATTAATTAAACAAAAATAATACTGGCTTTTTATTATTACAAAACATCAGTTATTAGAAGATATATAATTACTGGCATGTAAATGTTTGGAAAAGCCATTTGATGTTTTATAGATTATGAAGTCAGTACTTACCGTCACTTCCTGACGGAAATTTCAGAACAGAATTTTCATACGGTGATGCTGCTGCGAAAAGGACGTAAACACTAAATTTTCTACATCCTTTCTCACATGAGTTATTTCCTGCCTGATTTTTGCTTGCCAGTTTGCTTTTTCTTTCCCTCACATTCCCTGGACTGAATTCTCATTGCTTGGTGCTTTCAGTGTTTTTCTCCGATGATGCTGGTGGCATGTTTTCTTTGTCTCTTCCACTTAAATTCATGCAAGAGAACATCTTGTCTAAAGATTCTGTTGCCTTGCTTTTCAAAGAACATACAGGAGAAAAAATAATGTCTTCCCCCCGCTCCCCTTGCCTGCCTCCCCTTGGACAGTGTGCTGCCTGAACATCCCTGTTATATGCTCTTGTGCCTGTACCAGTGATGCTGTGAGTGATTAATGTTAGCACTTTGATGACATCAGCAACTAGCAACACTCTGTCCTTTTTTTTATTTAAGTAGGGGAGGGAGCAAGCATAGCTTAAAAAAAAAAAAAAACACACACACACAAAAAAACGGAGCTCACTCTCTTTCCTTCCCTTCTTCTCCCCCAATTTTATTAATGTCTTCTTCCCTAAGCATTTTATGCTTTTGTGCATCACTGGGGGAAGCGGTGGTGGCGTGTGGTGGTTTTCTAAGTCCCTTGTCACATATAAAGCTCTGTTAATCCAGTGTTTATGGGTGGACCATTTTAGGTACTTTCCCATGAAAGTAACATTAAAGAAAGATGGATTTTTAGATTGGCTGGCTTTTTATTGTTACGTACTGGTGAGTTTTTAAATACTGAAATCATGTTTTTAGGGCTTGCTTTTCTATGACAGATTTCTGCTGTGTGAAAAGGGGTTCCCTCCCCTTGACCTTTACAGCAGTAAAATGCTTTAACCTACTGGAGTAAAATTCTCGTTGTGCTACAGCCGAAATAGATAGTTTGGACGCATTTATTGTGGAGACCTACCTGGTTGGAAACATCAAAAGCAAAAAATGAAATCTCACCTTTTAGGGACAACTGTATAAATGCTTAGTGTATCGGCACATTCAGCTGCACATATTTTCTTAAGGTTTTACCAAGTTCTCTCCTCCGTCGATGCTCCAGACCCCTTTTCTGTAAGCAGAGCGCTACGCAAACACACACGTTGCGCTAGAGGAATGCAGTTTTAGGCTCTCCAACCACTGGGGTGTGTTTGGAGTTTAGCCTTTTAGCCAGCTCCAATTTAACAGCAGGACTGTGTCGTGTGTTAGGAGTCTTAACAATTAGCCAAGTATGTATTTTAGTTTGCGTTCACAGAAAAGATGGCTGAGTACTTGAAACAGCCCTCCACCACAAAATCAACACAAACCCGTGGTCCGTAGAACAGAGCTTCCCAGATGATGGGTGGCTGAGGCCGGGGGAGCCTCCAGAGCAGGGTGACCTGCAGCAGGTTGCTCAGGGACGTGTCTGGTCGAATCTTGAACGTCTCTGAGGACAGAGACTCCACAGCCTCTCTGTTCATTCACCCTCCCAGCAGTGAAGTTTTTTGTTATGTTTATCTGGGATTTCCTGTTTGTGCCCTTTGTCCTGTCACTGGGGACTGCTGAGCAGAGTTGGCTCCGTCATCTTTACTTCCCCAGCGAGTTATTTGTGGATGCGATCCGCTGAGCCTTCTCTTCTCCAGGTTGAACAGTCCCAGCTCTTTCAGCCTTTCCTCATAGGAGAGATCACAGAATCATTAAGGTTGGAAAAGACCTTTAAGATCAAGTCCAGCCACCGACCCAACACCACCATGCCCACTAAACCATATCCTGAAGTGCCACATCTATGCCTTTTTTGAACACTTCCAAGTGATGGTGACTCCACCACCTCCCTGGGCAGCCTGTTCCAATGTTTGACCACTCTCTCGGTAAAGACATTTTTCCTAATATCCAGTCTAAACCTCCCCTGGTGCAACTTGAGGCCATTTCCTCTCTTTTTGCTAGTTACTTGGAAGAAGAGACCAACACCAACCTCGCCACAACCCCCTTTCAGGTAGTTGTGGAGAGCAATAAGGTCTCCCCTCAGCCTCCTCTTCTCCAGACTGAACAACCCCAGTTCCCTCAGCCACTCCCCATAAGACTTGTGCTGCAGACCCCTCACCAGCTTCGTTGCCCTTCTTTTGACACATGCTCCAGTCCCTTAATGATCTTTGAGACCCACTGCTGGACTCTCCCATATGTCTCTCCATGTCTCTCCTCTACTGGGGAGACTGTCACTGGACCCAGTACTCCAGGTGTGTCTAGCCCATGCTGAGTAGAGAGGATGGACCACCTCCCTTGCTCTGCCTGATGGAGCCCGCTGGCTGTTGGCTGCCTTTGCTGCAAAGGACATACTGCTGGCTCGTGGTCAGCTTCTTGTCCACTAGGAC